CTTCGGCCACGTGATTTTACTATTATCCTGTGGAATACACCGTATCCACAGATATCCATTAAATAACAAGTATTTATCAAAGGATTCGTAAACAAATACATGACGAATATACAAATGATATAGTAAATATCATTAACACAGTTGAGTTAAAGTCAAAAATATGTTAAAGAGAGAAGAAATATAGCGTAATTGGTAGAAATAATATTAGTAAAAAGCATAGATAAAAGTGGAACTGAGAAATTAACTCAAATAGGAAAATAGTTAACTGCAAACCCCTAGTTCTGCAGCAAGACTCTAAATCCAAAATACTTTTTCCATATCTCGATTGAAATATACCATTTTAAGTTTAGAGTTTGTTTGTTCTTGTCTTTACGTTTGTGTGAACGTTGTGCCCGAGTTGGAAGAGTAATACGCATGCATGCGCAGACTAGCGATAATAGTTGGTCGTTAAAGAAAGAAAGTAGGATAATTAAAGTTAATCAGTTATTATTTACTCAGTAACTCTACATTCTAATTTTGTTATTCTTCGTCCTATTGGTCTTACTATTCCTTCTATTTAATAAATCTAAAAATCTCAATCATTCCTTATCAGTTATGGACCAAATACTAAATTATCGCCTCGCGCAAGAGTGACTTTCTAATCCGCGCATGTCATTTTCAGGCGGTACAAGTCCTAAATTATGCTCATGTGCGTAAATACCGTACAAACAAATACAGTAGCATATTGTGTATTTCCTAAATTAGTAGCATTATTAAAATTGATAATTTTAATTCAACATGCTACTTGTGTCCTTATTATACACCATACGTACGTACGTACGTACGCGTCAACTTTTAGCATGCATTTATGGAGCTCTGACTATATTGATAAAGTAATCAATTCATCGCGTGACTATATTGACAATCAAATGTCACATTGTTAATGATCGTTCTTAATATTAATAGTTTAATCGTTTAACCGAGTTTAACCGTTGATTCGGCCAGCGTTAACGTTATTCTTGATAATTTTGGCTAGTGGTCAACATAATTTGGCCAAGAACTATAAGCAGATGAGATTAAACAAATTAGTCCCCGAAAGAAATCTAATTTAAGGGTCGAGTATAAACAGAGATAACCCTTAAATGCACTTAGATGCAACATCATATGTACTGTACTTAAGTATGTAATATTTTTTATCTGTTATAGTTGTAATTGTTTTGTAAATGCAGTTGTTAAGAGGTTGGTTCCTGAGTTGTCTGCATCTGTGCATTTAAAAGGGGTTTTATTTAATGATGAACGCTAACAATTTTTTGAAATTTGTAATTCTTCTGATGCGGGGATTTCGCTGAATGTTGATCATCCAATTTTTACGTACGTATGTACGTACGTACGTACGCAAAGAAATAATATCAATTTTGATGCTTACGTATGTACGTACGTACCTGTATGAAATTATAAATAACAACTGTCGGTAATGTGGTACATACTGTGATCGTTACATGTGGCTCCGATTTATGTATCATTTATAGAAAAATTCGAGATCTGCATAAACACAAAGACTAAAATGTCAAAGTGTACTTTTACGAGAGACCTGAGCTAAAATGTACATCGTTTCTGGGTCAACATTAATATTTGGAACATTTATTAATATAAGAAACATGGTAAAGAAATTTGTATAACAAAAAGTGAAACAGAAAAACAATTACTTTCATTCGAAATAATGTCGAGAGAATTCTTAGTCAAAAAGTTTCTTTGAATTATTAAAATTTAACAATTCAGGTTAGAATATCACCAATACAAAATTGGACATATTATCTCTAAATACGAATTGGTATGAAACTTCCAAATTCTATTTCATGTTAAATGACTAACGTTTTTTATCGGTAAACCTTAGATTAACGTTAATAATAGAAACTAATTATGCATTAAACTTTAAATAGAAATTTTAAATTATTTTTTATAATTACCAATTTTTTTTTTTCAAAAAAAAATTTTATAGTCGGCATTTTTTTCAAAAATAGAAAATCTTTATAATTAACATTTTTTTCAAAATAGAAATCAATATAATTAACATTTTTTTTCAAAATAGCAAACCCATTATAATTTATAGCAATTTTTTTTTGTTCAAAATAGAAAATCCAATATTTTCTTTTTATTTCGAAATAGAAATAATTGATAAAAATTTTTTTTTCAAAATAGAAATCATTATAATTAATAATTTTTATTATTAGCAAATTTCTAAATCTATAATTACTAGGCCTTGGAATTTGATTCGGCGTTCCGATTTTTTTTAGTAACAACGAATCCTTAACACAATACGTAAAAAAAAATCAATAAAATTTTTGTTATGATATTATTCTCTACTGTTTTCAGGTGATCGAATGCAAGCATGCATTAAGCATGCACGGAAGTAAACTAACCTAGCACGAGATAGTTTTTTCTTTTCGAATAAATTCAATAAATTCAATAAATTTAATAAATTTAATAAATTTAGAGATGTTTACCTAAAACTATAAAATGATTGAATTTTATTTTTCTATAGTAAAACTATGTGATACTATTCGTTGCAAAATTCAAGCCACCTAAATAGTGAGATAAAATATGAATAATGATTTAATAACGACAAACATAGCTAAATCAGAGATCATTGAAAAAAAGAATAACTGACAATTACTGTAATACCGCAATACAGTACTTTTCCTATTTGATATGCAAACAAGTATTTTTATACATAAAGTTTACGCCTAAGCCTAATTTTATAATTAGGCAAATATAGATATTTTTAATGGATAAATTATACACCATAATAATGCAACTGAGGTATTTTTTCTACATTTGACGAGAGTTTTCAACATCGATACATGAATTTCTTGATGTATGCATTCGGATCTATTAAAGTAACTTTGCATTATCAAATTATGAATAGACTCCATAAATTTTCTAGATATAGATGGTTTAATAACTATCGTACAACTTTCAAATTTTCAAGCGGGAAACAATATAAATTTAAAAATATTTTTTGGTACTCCATAACGAAAAGTATAAAGGCAATTGATTTTTCCTCGATTTCAAACTTCATCCCAATAGCAACGAAAAAAAAAATTAATATAATAATAAATATTAGTTAAAATTAATTAAAGATGGGATTAAGTCATTCTTCATCGTTTCATAATTCTCATGTGAGAACTGTAGGGGATTCTGGTTCGGTTGTTATCACACCATACTCAGATGTATACCCGCGTTTGGACGTTTTGGATATGTATAGCAATGAAACATTGCGACCACAATTTGATTTATTAGTCCAAAGTTATCAAGCTTTATTTGATCGTTCCTATGAAGATATGCGATCATATTATCAAATAGCAGGCATTCATGGATTACCTTATACAGCTTATGATGGAGTTACTGGTGGTGCTCATCAATACAATAATGGTACAGATTGGGCAAAAGGTCGTTGGGGTGGATATTGTCATCATGGTGATATATTGTTTCCCACTTGGCATCGACCTTATATGATGCTCATAGAGTCACAATTAATCAATGAGGCAAAAAAGATTGCCGCACAATATCCGGATACCGAAAAAGAAAAGTATGTAGAAGCAGCAAATCAACTTCGCCATCCCTATTGGGATTGGGCTGATTTAAAGGCTATAAAAGGTGTTCCGCAATTTTTCACCGACCTTCAACTTGAACTGAATACACCTACGGGAAAGAAAAACGTCACCAACCCGTTAAAACGATATTATTTACCTGTTAATGTTTCATATCCTTTGGCACCAGGCACGAATCCAACGGATAAACCAAACTATACGCTTCCAAGTATGAACTTCAATCCATTTACGCCCGCTGGTTATCCTACGGTTAGGCACCCCAATGCCAAATATGAGGATCGGGATGATATCATGAACATTAATATGTCGACCTATGTACAGGGCGTGTTTCGAGCTGGTTTCTACCAGATGTTCCACATTGATAATTATTTACATTTTAGTAATCATGCTGTAAGAGGTTCAAATGATACAGAAATGGAAGATACAAATCCCGGGCATCCGGATCCTGCTCAATTTGTAGGATATGCACATTTTGCATCTCTCGAAACAACACACGATGGGTTTCATTTAGTAACTGGTGGTCTTGCAGGTCATTTATCTTATCCTGATATAACTGGTTTTGATCCATTATTCTTCTTTCATCACGTGAACATAGATCGTCTTTTTGCACTTTGGCAAGGAGTGTTAGTATTTTTTTTTTATTCTTTATTTAAATAATTTTATAATTTTTTTTTTTTTTTTATTAAATAATTAAAAAATTTTTCTTTATTTTTTATATATAGATTTCCTAACAGTTGGCTTCCGGAAAGTGGTGTAGCTATCAATGGAACTTATACGGATGACCTATACAATAATGTAAATGAAAATACAAGCTTAACACCATTCCGAAAATCAACAACAGATTTTTGGAATTCTAAAGATATTCGAGATATAGAAACACTTGGATATACATATCCTGAATTGACTAAATATAAAGGTCAAGATCCAAAAAATTTACAAGGTTATCTACTTCAATTATATAAACCTGATGATCATTATGGACGTAGAATTTACGCCAAGTTGACTATACAAGCGGGTAAATTAGTTGGACCATACTCTATTAGAGTTTTTCTTGATTTACCTAGTGCAGATGCTTCAACACCAGTAACTTCCGATCATTTTGCTGGTTTTGTTGCCGTGTGGCGTAGTACTACTAATTCCACATATGTCACGGGAACTGTCGATATTACATCTTGCATGAATAAATTGGGAATTCGAATGGAAAAACATGATTATGTTGGGGATGTTAATGCTACGACAGGCTTAGTAAAACCAACTTCACTTTTTGATGTTAATAATGATATAAAAATTGTTCCCGTTATGTTAAATGGAACTGGAGTAAATATTAAAGATGCTGGAGTTACTAGTGTTCAAGTTTTTTCATTTGAATCCGATCAAGTAGATCCAAATTTCTTGGTCGAAAGCACTGGTCAATTTTATGGCACTGTAAAATTCTAAAAAAAATTTTTTTTTCAATCAAAGACATTCAATTCTTTACTTTATTTGGTTGGGACAATTAATTCTTGTATATTAAAATTTCCCTAATGCACGTTCTACTGTAATTACTAAGTACCTTAGTACTTAACTTGCATCTGATAAAATTTTTTCATATATTGTTCATATACTGTATTTTTTTATTTTATTATTTTCTTTAATAAAACAGCAAAATAATTAATATACTACAAATTTAGTGGGCAATTATAATATTAACGCGACTTGATAAATTATTGTTTAATTCGATAATGGCGATTAATTCGCGTTATTTCGAAATAAGAGATGATTTTATAAGAACATAATTAATTCGTAATCCGCCAGAGAACTATAAAAAAGCATAGTAAATAGTGGGGATTTACTATATGTTTTTTACTATGC